TTACGATCTCTTCACCTGTCTACGATTCTCTTCTCACGCTGTTCTACCATCTCTGCCTCACCCTGGTCTAGCGATCTTCTCTCCCGTGTCTACGATCTCTCTCGCCTGTCTACGATCTCTCTCAGCCTGTCTACGATCTCTCTCACGCCTGTCTACGATCTCTCTCACCGTCTACGATCCTCCTCACACTCGTACGATGCTCTCTCACGCTGTGTACGATGCTCTCCACCTGCTCTCCGATCTCTCTCGGTCCTGGTCTACGGATCTCCTCACCCGTCCTACGATCTCTCTCACGCTGTGTCACATCTGCTCTCACCTGTCTACGATCTCTGCTCACCTGCTACGATCTCTCTCGCCTGTCTACGATCTCTTCCCTGTCGTACTGATCTCTCCTCACCCTCGTGTAACGTATCTCTCTCTCTGTCTGACGCATCTCTTCTCAGCCCTGTTCTACGATCTTCTTCTCACCTGTCTACGATCTTCTCTCACCTGTGTACGATCCTCTCTCACCTGTGTACAGATCTCTCGCACTGTCTACGATCTCTCTCCGCCTGGGTCTAGCGATCGTCTCTCACCTGTCCTACGATCTCTCTCACTGGTACGATCTCTCTTACCTGCTACGACTCTCTCTCACCTGTCTACGATCTCTTCGCCTGTCTACGATCTCTCTCAGCCTTGACTACGATCTCTCTCACCTGTGTAGCGATCTCTCTCACCTGTCTATCGATTCTCTCTCACTGTCTACGATCTCTCCTCACCTGTGTACGATCTCTCTTACGCGTCTACATCTTCCCTGTAGGAGTTCCAGCGTCGGTTGACCTCATCGAGGGGAGCGCGGATTGCCTGCGCAGACTCCGGCGACGCCCGCTCCATCATGTCGTGTGCGAGCTGATTCAACGCTTCCACGTCCACCGTGCGCGGGTCCACGTCCCTAAACACCTACAACACACACATATACAACACATGTATAAATATAAATAATATACATATATATATATTAGCTTGATACACTGACTAACATTCCACGTCACACCGTCTGCGAGGGTCGCACGTCCGCCTTATAATCCCTACAACACCCCAATATACACACATGTATAAATATTATAATATATTAGCTGATACACTGATAACACTTCCACATCCACCGTGCGCGGGTCCACATCCGCCTTATACACCTGTAACAGCAGCAGCACATACACATCACACACACATGTAAACACGCACGCACGCACACAGGTGCTCACGCACGCACACACACACACACACATACATACACGACCAGCCAAACAATTCACACAGGCCAGTTCTCGCAACTGACTTCAGTCTCGTAATCCGCGAGCGAACCGAAAACATCACCAAAAAAACAAAAACATAACATCGTAACATAAAAGCAAATTAAATGAGTGGTGGATAGATGGCAGCACCTTGAGTTCATTGATCTGCTGCTTGATGGCTTCGGTGTCTGCTCCGAGCGCGCCCATGTCGTCCAGCCTCTCCTCGCTGCTGTCCAGCCACTCCATCAGGTTCTGCAGCGTCTCGTGGAACTGCATGGCCCTCTCCATCGCCTGCAAGCAGAGATGTGCACGTGTGACGGTAACTTCACGTTCAACATGCGCCATGCGTCATCCCCCGGGTGGCGTCAACGTGTAAAAAACGAACGATGCTCTAATCTTTGTCGCTTATA